TTTTAAAGTGGAGCTCCACCCAAAATTGGAAGTTCCGCTTTAAGGACTGCTCCCCCCGCTCCCCATTAAGGATTGGCACCTTTGGAGGGCGAGAGGAGAGCGGGTACCTGAATTTGACAGGTACCTGCTCCCACTTCTGGTCCGATCACCTAGGCAATTGGAAGCGTAAGGTGTCCTCCTTCCCTCCCTGTAGTGTTTTGGGACACGTGACAGGTCCCAGAAGACTACAGGACCATTCATGAAGCCCAGCGCTACTCGCGCATGCGCAGTGGGCACCTGGCTGTGATCTGTACTGGAAGATCTACAGATAGAGTGGAGATCTCGAACCTCCAGACCGCTGCACGGGTCTGGAAGCTGTCACAGCCGGGTGCCCACACTGAAGATGCCGGCCTCCTGGAATCCAGGACGGCTGGTGAAACGGGCTGCGGGGGACACCACAGGACAGGCAATGCAGGCTGAATTAGTGGCCGAACTTTCGTTCGCACGAAAAAATCGGCCGATATTCACGCTGTTAGTGGGGCCAGCCGTCGGCCGTTTTTCGTGGATCTTCTCGATCACGCTGGAAAATACACAAAAAACGGCCGTTTTTTCGTGGACATTGGTGCAAGCAGCACCGCTGCCAGCAACGACTGATTTTTCGTTTATCGGCCAAAAATTCGGCCGATAAAATGACCCGTCTATAGCCAGCCTAAGTGGCTGTGTTTTTTTAAAAGTCAGCAGCTACAGTTTTTGTAGCTGCTGACTTATTTTTTGACAGGTGAGTGGAACTCCGCTTTAACCTCCTCGGCGGTATGATTATTTCCGATTTTTTGTGCTGAAAGCGGTACCATTTTTTTTGCATGGAAATATGTAGTTTTTTTATTGTAGGCTGTAATATTTAGGAATAACTCACTGAAATTTGTACAAACAAGAGTCTAGCAAACATCCCGGGGAGGATAAAATTTGAAACACAAAATCATAAAATTATAATTTAATAAATCATAAAAAATATAATAAATTTGATTCAATAATATAATCAAACCAAAACACTGAAATTTGAAATACAGAGGCAAATTCGCACATCGCTGAGCAAAGTCGCAAAATCGTTTTCAGTGTCTGATGAGGAATTTCCCCCACGAATCATTATCACTCAATTCTGCAAGTGGTTCTGATTTACTATCGCTGTTCTCTAGCCGGTCTAAAACCGCTTGTGACGTAAAGGGGCGCTTTTTGGACGCCATGGACGTTTCTCAGTTTCCAGGCAGAAAGGACAGTCAAAATGCAGGCAGGGCGCCGGACAAAGCACTCGGGACAAAATGTATGTGAAATGCATTGAAACAGCAATTTTTTACTATGTAATAATCATTTTAAAAAAAAAAAATTTTTTTTTTAAAAATTTCAAATTTGCCACCGGTTCCGGCGCCCGTACGTCCCTACGTCACAGGGACCAGAACACGGAAGCCGGCATCAGCCAGAGGAGATGGCCGGGGACGCTGCAGGGGACACATCGCGGGAGCGAAGGACAAGGTAAGTGCTGCAGTGAATCCCTGAGCAACGCTGCATGGTAATCCCGAGTGTAGCTCGGGGTTACCGCTCTTGGTACTGAAATTTACCCCGAGCTACACTCGGGAATACCGCCAGGGAGGTTAAATAAAGTGGAAGCAGTTCAGGGGGGTTCAGGGGGGTGTAGAACAGGTGTTCAACCGCAGGGTTTTACTGCAGCACCCCCAAGTGTGAAGGGGAGCCCCTCCTGCGTCCTCTGGACAGAACAGCTGAGCGGGCGCACACAAGGAATTGTAGTAATCAGCTGCAGTCACTGTCTACATGTCAATCCCGTTGGTTTGCAATCAGAGGAGTCAGAGGTGGCTCTACCTTCCCTGAACAAACTAGTAAAGTAAACAAAGCCATGTGCCACATTTTCTCCAATCTATCCGCCACACGGTTCCTCCATCAAAGCCTTTGTGATATCTATAACATGCAGCATGTGAGGCTCAGGACTCGGCTTTATTGATGGGTTTCGGCATAGTGCAGGTCAGAAGAGAAAGCAGCATAGACTTCAAGGAGAGAGCGGAAAGACCACACTCCGACTTTCTAGAATCAGAACAATGGGTAACGAGTGTCAAAGTGCCCAATACAGAGA